CAGACGTCTATCCTGGGAGCTAATTATGGTTATGGTTATTGTTATCACAGGCTACGGCAATCTGGATCTCCTCACCTCATATTTGCATGGGATACTACTTTGGTTCCTCGTTTGACATTACTGACACACAACATGATGAACAGGTAGACACCTTTTCGAGTTGATCAAGTTTGTAAAATCCACGGCATGAATTATATTACTAAGAAATACATTTATAATATTAGGTTTAATGATATTACTTAACTAAGAAGTTAAAAGTTTTCGTTTAATGGTTGGTTGAAAGTCAAAGTTTTACAACAACCAGCTACATATCTGCCAAAATTACTAACTACAGTCTGAAACAGCTACTTATACACTTAAAATATATGCATATACTTGTGAACTGATGGATACAAAGTTCACAATTGCAGTTTATTGAGCCTAACAACTACTTATCAGCTATTGAGTAATGTACAAAGTTCTAAATTATCTCCCGCATAATGTACAAATCTTGTACATTAGTGAAGGATAGACCAACACAGAATCCTAAACAAGTGTGGAACAGTTTAAGTTGTCAAAGCTTGAAATAATAATTACCAGCAGAACTAGGTGAATATAATAATATATAATACTTTATATTTACTAATGGATACTGACAGATGTCAAGTATTATAACGGCTACAATATTGGGACTGAAAATGTTTGGCAAATGTGATTACTTGAGAAATACTATTCCATACATTATATTATTTATTTATTCATTTATACACATGCCTGAACACCTGATTTATTTAGTGCACACAGTACAATCTATAAACTCTCACATCCTCATATTGGTGCGAAATAGCATATTACTGCACGAATTATCACACTGATAGACTGACTGACTGGTTTCAACATAGAACTTTGCACAGATGTGCAGCAGTCCAAGTTGCCAAACTCCACATAGCACACAACGCAAGAGAAGAGAAAGGAAACAGATTCCAAAGAACGGTAAGAAACAGAAATATGATGGAGAAAGAATAGTAATATCGAAGAATAATAGAGTTTTATAGGATATGATAAGTCACAAAGAGTAAACGCATCTGCACCAGCCAAAGAAAAAGATTTTGAACTATATCACTCATTGTCTACAGCCTCCTTTGGTTTATACCATCCTGAGCACCCCAACCAGGAAGCCTACGCCTCCCTACATGGCTTCAGCTAATTGTTATAGATTTCATTGACTGATGAAGCCATGTTTTGGTTTGACCACCACTAGCTAACTCTTTTCTAACCTGATCAATCCTATGTCAGCTGACATCACCCATCGGTCGAGGAAGGTGATGGCTAGGCATGCGTAACACATGTCCTAACCATATCAATTAGGGTAAATTCACAACCTCGTCGGTTGATTTCCCCTCCTTACCTAGCACTCGACACCGAAACCTAGTATGACTCACCCCATTATACCACCTAAGACGGGAGACGGCCGCAGGCACCTATGATCAAGGACAGCTAGACTTTTCACATCTTCCAATCTCAATGGACATGTCCCACAGCCAATCATAGAGGAGGACGGGGCGAACTGCTGCGCAGTGCACACGTCGTTTGATCGACACTGATAAGAGTAATTGCCAAAAATGAGCATACCTCGATACATTAGTCGTACAGAACGAAGTAACGCTGAAAGGTTGAAATCCTTCACAGAACACTAACATATCATAAACCCTTGGAAGCACTTATTCACGAATGAGTTTGAATGTATACTAACTTAAATAGCAAGTTGTCGAGGATGAATAACAGTTGATAAACACGAATAATATGCATAGGAATTAGTGAAACTGAATAAAGGTCTGGTAAAATTAGAAAATGAAGTTATTTAGAAACTCGTACTAACGTATATCTGTTATCGATTTAAGTATTTGAAACTAAATGATTAGGTCAGGAGTTCACGGTTATTTGATAAACAGATGCATATCTTCCGTGTGTTATTCGTCAAATGTTTATAATTTAAAATTATATATATAGACAGGCAGATACTATCGATTTAACAGCTAGCATTTTGAAAAATTTTAAATGAGTTTTATTTAAATAACTTAATTAACTCCATCTATCAAGATGTTTTTGAATGGAAAATAAGTAAAAAAAAAGAGAGGTCATGCACGAAATTGGAAAAAATTATGATGATATTCGATCTCCTATGCAGAAGAAAACTAGTGGTAAGTAAGTAGTAGGTATCATCATAATGAAAATTTCTTTCATATATATATGTACTTATATATATGTATATAGGGTACAGCAGGTTGAAGATGAGGCAGTAACTCATCTAAGAAGACATTGCGAAATGGTCACGCTATGTCGTGAATTGGCAGAAGTTAGAATTCAAGGACCATTGGATCGGGTCCCAGTGGCTCAATGGTCTACGAGCTCGCCTTGTAACCAGAAGGTCCTGGGTTCGAATCCCGGTGGGTGCGTACTGATGAAGAGCCCCAAACTAGGACGAAACAGCTGTCCAGTACTCCCACGTTTTCCAGTGGTTCTCTAACTGATGTCAGCTCATGATGAAATCCTCCATGCAATGTATATATATATATATTTTAAGCCAACTTTTTGCACCTTTCATTTTAAAATATTAATCACTATATACACACACACATCCTCCAGCTAAAACAGTCTAAAGATTCACATTCAAAATATGACGGACAAAGTCCAGTGGTAGAACATTGGCCGACCACGCAAGTGGTTCGGGGTTCGAGCCCCTGCCGATGCACTCCTTTGTCTCGTTTAGTCACTAGTAAGCCCAGTAGATAGGTCGGGTTGGCCGTGATGCTGGCAACCGCATCTTGTAAAAAAATATCAAAGCTCAAGCTTGAAACCCTATGTTCCACTTTGAACGCAAAGGAATGAAGTTAAAATTAGTACATCAAAAATGAAGCTTACAAAAAGGAAGATAACATAAGATAAAAAATAATGTCAGGATTCATTAGAAATAATAATTATCAACTACTAGAGATACTGATATATCTTTATAATCTCCAACTCAAACCGAAAATCAGGGATACATTAGTTATTGTCATCTCACTGTATGCCTAATTAAAGTTAACTTAAATCGACAAGATTTTAAGACAAGCAGTAACTGAGCATGTGTAATATACATTACAGTAATCTCAATGCATAGCTTTGTATCATCTGATTAATTGTCATTTCACTTCTATAAAACTGTCATAATACCTTTAAGTGATAAATAGGGAACACAAACACACCTAGAAAAGATCTTATATAGTTGCTGATCAGTCTTTTTAGTTCTGTCTTTCCAATCCATAATTGTTAATTTAGTTGTCCCACTAAACATTACCTGCATTATCTATATATGTTACCACTAATATTTTGCTGAATACATGAATAAGTTACTGAAACAACGGTGAGTTCAGGAATCATTATGATCTCTTAAGTCGAATTAATCAAACACTTCATACAATTCTTTCCATCGAGAAATTTGAATAAGGCAAGAATGACAAATGTAACAGGATAATCTGAGCTCATGGTTTTATTTTTATTATCTCGTGGATTCTTCTCAATTGGTTACAACCTGAACAATACCAAAATTATAAATTGAATTAAAGATCTGAACATACTTTTTTTATAATGATAGTGAGTAATTGATTGGGACTGAGAGTAACATTGGTTAGGAGTAATGTAAGCTGTTAAATAATTAAGAGTGAAAAGGATCGACTCTTTGTAGAAGAATTGCATGACTAAACTTGGAAACAAAACACACAGTTCAACAGATGTTTTGTGGATAGAAACAAAGTTTAACTAGAAAGAGTATAAAAAGCAATGAGTTACGTAACCACAGAAAAATATTACCTATTACTTTCTAGTTGAACTTTGTTTCTATCCACAAAACATCTGTTGAACTCTGTCCTTTTGTTTTCAAGCTAAGCCATGCAATTCTTTCATAAATACTCGATCCTTTTTCACTCTTAATTATTCAACAGATTACATCATCCCTGACCACTGTTACTTACTCTTATTTCCAATCAATTACTCCATATCATCGTAAAAAAAAGCATGTTCAGACCTTTAATTTAATTTACAATTTTGGTATTGTTTAGGTAGTAACAAGTTGAGAAGAATCCACGAAATAATAAAAATAAAACCATGAGCTCAGATTATCCTGTTACATTTGTCATTCTTGCTTTATTCTAATCAAGCAGTCCTTTGATATAGAACTGCTGCAAGCTCAAACAATTGTACGACAGTCAATAAGTTAGTTGATGAGTTATTGTTGTTATTGAAAAACTAAATCACATAAACTGATTATGATTAGATCCCGTATACGAAAAAAAAAGAAAATAACTAGTAAATTATACAGTTCCTCCTATTGATAAAATTGAACATATGAAGCATAATAAATGTAACAGAGTCATATGAACTCATTTTGAATTAATTCGTATATTCTTCTTGACTGCTGCTTATAACCTAAGTGATATTGTGGTGAGAGCTGGCTGCTAGCAAAAGTTGGTAGATAGTAATTGACGTCAATGTTTATGTCCCCAATATTGGTGGTGAGAAAATGAGAACAAAGGCTTTGCGTAGGCGGATACAGTTAGCATATGGATGATCTGAAACAGCCACAAAGAGATGCAAGGTTAACTTTCTGTGAGAAACAACCAATCAAAAGACTGTATTGTCTACTAACAATAATCTACAATAATGTACATTAAAATCTATAAATATGTGTTGATTTTCCTTAACAAACGATCTATTGCCTGGCCCTTGTCTTCTGTTGTTACAATATCAGAATCCGGGAAATAATACAATATGAAATCATTTTACCTTGGGGAAAATTAAACAGTGATAAAACACGTCTCAAAGTTAAATAGTACACAGTAATAATAATAATAGTGATAGTAATAACGATAAAGACAATCGTGTGTCTGAGCACAATGCAAAACGACACATTTACAGGCCAAAACTTTACATGTATATATATATACATGTAACAGTAGCATAAAAGATTTTCTACCCGTACTCACTTGGAAATATCCGTAGTGGTTGTTACTCGATTATTAACATTTCCAGAGGAAGAATTAGCTTCATAGCAATTGTAAAACACTTTCTGTGAAGATGACTTTAAACAACTTTTATTAGTGAATGTTAACGAAGAGATACGATGATTAGATGATTTAAAATTCACATCACCGTTTGTATATGTAGAGGTATATTTATTTGAATGTTTATTATTTGTTAATGATCGTTTATTATTGAGCAGTACTGTCTCCGATTCCATCATATCGGTATCTGTTTGTTCAGGAGGTAGCATCAAGCGTGCTTGTTGTAATTGTTGGTGTTGTTGTTGTTGATGTTGTGAATGACAAGCACGTTGTAAGAATAATCGTAAATATTTAGCCCTTTGTCTATTGTATACAGTAATAGTATCATCCTTATTGATAAATTCATAAGATTTATTTTTAAATTCTGGACGATCTGGACAAAAAAAACAAAATAAGATTTTTTTAAAATACAAAATATGGTGTCAATTATTCAAATTAAACAATGGTAAAATGAAAATCAACGACATTTAAGTTAGATACATCCCACTGCTGTTTAAGATATGTCGATCATGATTTAATTAATCACAACTGACAATCTTAGTTCTGTCACTTCAATTTTAGATCGAATGAATGAAGTACAAAAGAAAACAGCATTTGACTTAGGTCTGTAGAAGAGAAAGATAATTGTCGATAGCCTGATGGATCGATACAATGATCTATTTACAGAAAACCCACCTGGACAGGAAAGTAGTTCAATTACCACAGCTTCTTTCTTGTTCGATACAAAAGAACTATAGTGAGGTGCTTCCAGTAGGATTCATATGAAGGTGAGAAAAGAAAACTGACAGAAAATTTGACTGATAATAATTATTTAGAGAAGTTCATAAGGAGATAAGGAAGTGATCAGACCACCAAGAGCTGTTCTCCAACTCGCCACACTAAGTAGGATGTATACATCAATTTTCGCTACACAGATGATCATAGAAGCTTGATAATTAGACAGAGATTGAATGCTGAGGTTAAAAATACTTTCTATGCAATAAAGATCCGAATAAATGAGAATAAGAAGCCTATAAATCTATCTAAGCTCTTGAAGCATACGAAAAACGGTGTCATATCCCAATGTATCTACCAATTTTTGAAATGTAGATGTAGTCATACATATATTGGGAAGACTCATCGATCTTCGCAAGTAAGGACTTAAGAAGCAAATAGAATCCCCTGAACCCATTAATAGTGAAAACAGACTACCTAGCTCCTCTAGCGTAAACATATATATAAAACGTTTTTGGGACGTATCTTAAGGTTTTTGGAAGCCCTGGCGATTAGGATGTTTAAACCACCGATATGTGTTCAAAAACAATTTGTCATCCTACTAAACCTCCTTCCGTAAACTTTGTTTTGATACCAGGACAGATGTACTATTATCCCCATTCTTCTTCTTCGGTTTATTGATCTCCGTTGTCATTATTATGACCTTGAAGACAGTCTTTTACCTTGACCTGTGTCTATTCTCTCACCCATTAATGCACTATTATTTTCACATAAATATTATCCTATGACAAGTACGTTTGCGATCAGATTGTTCAAAATGTGTTGGACAAATACACTACACGATTCACATAAATTACTTTCTCTAATTGTTTTGTCAAAATTCATTACGGAAACTAATCATTTCAAAACAATTTTAATTTAGAGTAAAGCAGAAAGAATGTAAAGATGGATAAAATATTAAAATGTAAATGGATATTAATAAATATCGACTTTGTGGTAAAATACAGCCCGTCTGCAACATGTTTCCAGAACAAAAAGGAACATTATTTAGAGCTACTACATAACATGAGTGAAAATCAGTAGGAGTACAACACCGAATGTTTGAACGGTTATAAGATAACCTTGTTTCCCAATGACGATGCAGATGTGATAGTATTTGTAACCGAAGTATAAATGGTCCATACGAATTGCGCACATTTCCTCTAACTTTCGATTATATTTTTATTTCATTCATTTGCGTTCCGAGTGGAACATAAGGCTCCAAGCTTAAGCTTTGAAATTTCAGTAACAGTGGTGTTTCTTTCGGCGTGGGGTTGCTAACCTCACACCCAACCTTCCCTCTTTGTCAGGCTTACAACCAGCTAGGGTGAGGTAAAGATGTGCACCAGGCGGGAGTCAAACCCCGGACCACATGCATGGTTGACGAGCATCCTACCACCGAGCCACCAACGAACTACATTCGATTGCTGAAAATTAAACAGCTTGTAATTTTGATACTATTTACCATATGGAAGTTTTACATCCATACTGTCCATGTACTGCAACACCAACGCTAGGAGCTCTTAGCAGCACTTCCCCAATTTTCGTAGTCAAATAGCCAACCATAAGTATTCATTCACAGGTTAGAAAACCATTTAGAAAAAAAAACTAAACAGACTAAAGTTTATCTATGCTCGAAATTCCTTAGAACTTCCCTAATGAAAAGTTGGAGTTATCTACTTCAATTTCGCTGAGATATATACACATCACTGGGTACCCAATGTTTTAGAAACTGGTGGGTCATATTGTCCCAAGAGTTCATATACAAACAGATATAATTTTCCAGTGAGGAACGGGGTGTATGTATAATAAAATGGTATGTCATAACCAACAATTTCTAAATAAGTACCGGGAAAAAGTTATTTAAATCTGAAAACATTTCGTATAAGATTGAATGATAATTTTACTGATATTATTATTGTTGTTATTATTTATGATTCCCTAATGTTTCGAGTGAAATACTGGGCTGCAACAGCACATATCCATTTCATCCTGTTCTTTTTAGTCCTCTTTACCTAGCTCCACGACTCCCTATAAGCTCTCATCCCCTCCTCACACGATACCCTCCATATCACCTTTGCACCCACACCCAAATCACCGTTTCCACTTGTGAGCTTGACTGGCGTAAGGTATCATTCAACTGTCTCCTCAGCATATGTCCGAACCATTTCTCTTTTCTTCAGCATATTTGTTGGGAGATAGGCGCTTGATTCGTTGGTTCCCAGAGTCCTACGTTGCTAATCCTTTCTGACCAGATTAGCAACAAGGAGTGAAATTATGTTTAAAAAGAAATTTCATGTATACTTTAAAAGTATTATATATTTCACAGGAATTTTTTTACGCCACACACGAAGAATGAACAGGGGAAGAAGAATCGGATAACTACCATTGGTAATTAAGACTAAAAGTATGTTGTACGCCCTATGAAGCTAAATTCCAATCTGAATAACTTTCACAAAAAGAAATAATATATAAGTGCTTGCTTGGTTAGGAAAAAACGAACATTTTTCTTCCCAATAAAGTACTTTTCCTCCAAAAAAAAAGAAATCTAATGACATTAGAAGCACGTGAACAAAATGTTGAGCATCAAGGTGATTTCAGTAAACTATGAAGGACACACACAAGTATACTACTTTTTGATCACGAGCAAGAAGTAGTTTTCACCAATTGTGAACTTGACCAACCACAAAACACTAGGCATGATGAAAAGGCATTTCTGTCTTCATTTAGATTAGAATTTTTAAAAAATACAAAAAGGGTGTTATTTACAAAAATTTCTTAGGAAAGCAAAAAAAGCACAGTAGGAAGTATATAACTAATAATTACTGGGGGAGAAAAAAAGTGATTCCACCCATTTTGATAAAGTAATTATCTCACGCAATAGTTTTCCGTCTACATATATGTGAACTAAATGAAAATAACAGAAATAAAACTGCAAACAGAGTATAGAATACAACTTACCACGGCTTTCAAAATCCACCCCGTGTTTCTTATCAAACTCGTCTAACTATGAGAAATAAAGTACAATTGGGAAAAAACAAATGAAAAGAGTTTTGAAGCATAGTTAATTTAAAATCAAAAACCTATCAAGAGAACTTATTACTGCTGCAAAAGTTGTCTTCCTTAACACCAGCAAACGAGTGCTTCAACAATCTGGGAAAGACCAGTCACCAATCCCAGATACTTCAAACTGAGTACATCAGACTGACTGACTGGAAGTTGTGCGATTATATTGGTTGGAGGACTTTATTATGAGCCGATATCGGTTAGAGAACCATTGAAAAACTTGGGAGTACTAGACATGTTTCGTCCTGGTTTGGGACTCTTCAGCAATAGGACGAAACAGCTGTCCAGTACTCCCACGTTTTTCAGTGGTTCTCTAACTAATGTCAGCTCATGATGAAATCCTCCAGGCAATCAAACAAAACCAAAACTTAAAAATTGCGTGATTTTAATTGATATGATTATGAACCATAAATGTGTTCGAAACTTTGTCTTCGAGTAAATAATACTGTATGGAATTGCATACTACCACAGTGCCCAAGGTGTACACACATATTAATAAGGTTGAGTCTGTTTGTGGAAGCAAATACAGAAAGGCGATTGTCTATTCGAATGATGGAGCATTCGTTGAAGTGGTTGAAAACAGAGGAAGTCAAAGTGCCAAAAAGTTCAGTAACAAAGTACCTTGCAGACTAAGGATATGATATTGACGCTGTCAGTCAAGTCATTCAGTATTGTCAGCAAACAAAAAAAACAGGAAGATGCTTGCAAATTATGGAGGTTTGTGCAGTTAGAGTTTATAAAGCAGGTCTCTGGGTACAAAAAGAAGTGGTCGTCACTATGAATCTACCATGGTAATGTTTTACTTATTAACTGTTATTATTATTATTACTTAGTTCTCAATTCTTGATATATATTTAAGTTCTTTTTCTGATGACTAATTGTTTGTTTAATTGATGTAATTGAACCGTAATGCATTTAATCTTAATTTTAATCTTTCATATTCCCTTCTCCTAATTGAACATGACCTGAAAACATTCACATCCATCGTTTTTCATGATTAATTCAATGTAGTTTATTTGCTTATCAGTCCTATATCTTTTTTTCCGAGTTGATCACGGATTGATATCAGTTAGAGAACCATTGAAAACCAGGGATTACTGGACAGCTGCTTCAACCTAGTTTGGGAATCATCGGCAGTACACACCCACCAACCAAGTCCAAACCCAGGACCTTCCGGTTACATGGTAAACTCGTATATCATTCAGCCACTGCGACCCGATTCAATGGCTCATGAATTCTAACTTCTACCGGTCGGTCGGTTTTCTACATAGAACTTTGCACATATGTGCAGCAGTTCAAGTCGCCACACTCCATGTAGCACACAAAGGAAGAGGAGAAAGTAGGAGAAATGCATAATATAGACAGTAAACAGAGGTGTGAGACAAAGGTATAGTAATAACGAAGGACAAAACAGTTTCATTGGAAATCATAAGTCACAAGTCGCAGTGGATGCATCTGCGCCACTGAGAACGGTTTTGAGCCATGTCACCAATTGTTTCCAACCATTGGTATTTACCGTCCCGAGGACCCCAACCAGCTTCTACCAATTCGTGATTTAGCGCAACCCCAACCATTGTCGTTGGTGGGACATCCATACACACACGTGAGAATTCTAACTTTATATATATATATATATATATATATATATATATATATATATATATATATATATATATGGTGAGAGCTGTCTACTAGCCAAATTGGTAGACAGTAATTTACGTCAATATTTACGTTCCCAAGATTTGTCGTGAGAAACAACCAATCGGAAGACTGTTTGTTTGTTTACGTATTCATAGTAATGCGCATGAAAACATATATAAATATGCGTTGATTTACTTAATAAATGATCTGTTGCCTGACTCTTGCCTTCTGTCGTTACAATTGGTGTCGCAGCCTACCGACAAATGGAAAGCCTATGCCCTGCAGTTTTTGATGAAGACATATGGATCTTCGGGCAGGACTTTGAGGCTTCGTCGCAGTTGAGTGGCGTCCAAGATCTGCCAGCGATGAGGCTGCTACTTGGGACGCTGCTGGGAGGTCGGGAGAAAGCAGCATATGAAAGTGTGAGCAGAAATACGTACGAATGTGCGGCAGGGTCAGGCAAACAGTTTCCAAAACGGGAAGGACCATACACAGTCACAAAAAGACGGGGTCAAGTATATACCATCAGAAGAGGTGACAAACAAAAACGAGTTAACGCCAGTCAGATCCAACGATGGGTGCATTGGGACAAGCCGGTCTGTAACAATCATCAATGAGAGGATGCATCACCCAGAAGGTCGGAACGCCTGCGCGCGAAGCTATTTGACGGGGGGACGATTGTGGTGAGAGCTGTCTACTAGCCAAATTGGTAGACAGTAATTTACGTCAATATTTACTTTCCCAAGATTTGTCGTGAGAAACAACCAATCGGAAGACTGTGTTTGTTTGTTTATATAACCATAGTAATGTACATGAAAACATACATAAATATGCGTTGATTTCTTTAATAAATGATCTGTTGCCTGACTCTTGCCTTCTGTCGTTACATATATGTATATATATATATATATATATATATCCATGTATGTAGAGTATTCAGTGGAAGAGTCCTACCTAAATTTGATGAATTCATTAAATCTTGCTTTATTAACTTTTGTTGCTTATTTTAAAATGCAATAATGAATAAGGAAACCAGGATCCATAAAAATCCTCTTATGTACGCAGTGTTGTACTAAAAATATTGAATTATGCTACAAAAAAAACCATCGTTGTCCATATTTGCTGTCTATTTCACATTCTTCATGATATCGGTCACCTTTACAGTAAGTCATTTTCATTTGACTAATTTAGGTCATGCAGAAGAAAAAAACAACACTGTTAGTAATGAGGCTATGAAGATTTCATGACAAAATTTGTCACAGTCGAAAACATCTCTTCTATCCTTACTTTCTAACAATTAGAATTAGGTAATTAATTGATTTTAAAAATTCTCTTAGTCTAAATAAAAATATATAGTAGTCGTATGTTCTAATTACAATGAAAGACAGTATCGTTGTAGCACAACGTTAAACAGAATCTTTATACACCATTTTTTGTCCGTATCTTTTTGGTATTTTAGCTAATTTAATTAATCAACTTAGTAGCTGGAAATTCACACCTAGACTAAATTGATGCCTTCATTTTGGTCGTAGTTTTTCTCTCTATGAATATTTCAAGAATGTAAGCACCATTATATGTGTAATATGCACTGCCTGGCGTCAGTCAACTGTCAATAAAAGACAGAAAGTTTATAACTTTAGTCATAACCTAGCGATAATAATTTTCAAATGGATTTAAAAGCCAATATAAACCTACGCAAATTTTTTTCTTGAGATTGGAAACTATGGAGGAGGATGTATAGTTACAACATCTACCCTACTAATGCGGATGAATTATCGTGAAGTGGTATAATAAGGTGAGCAATACTGAGGTTAGGCGTCGAGTGCTAGGTAAGGAGGGGAAATCAGTCGACGAAACTGTGAAATTACATCGAATGAGATGGTTAGGACATGTGTTACGTATGCCTAGTCATCGCCTTCCTCGACCTATGGGCAATGTTAGCTGATATAGGGTCAAGGCTGGAAAAGAGCTAGCGACAGTCAAACCAAAACATGGTACCAGTCAATGAAATCTACAACAGTTAGTCTAAGCCACGTAGGAAGGTGTAGACTTTCAGACTGGTTGGGGTCCTCGGAACGATAAAAACCAATGGTTGGAAACAATTGGTGACATGGCTCAAAATCGTTCTCAATGACTAGCGCAGATGCATCCACTGCGACTTGTGACTTATGATTTCCAATGAAACTGTTTTGTCCTTCGTTATCACTATTCCTTTGTCTCACACCTCTGTTTACTGTCTATATTATGCATTTCTCCTACTTTCTTCTCTTGCTTTGTGTGCTACATGTAGTGTGGCAACTTGAACTGCTGCACATATGTACAATGTTCTATGTCGAAAACCGACCGACCGACCGACCCTACTAATGCGTAATGAGAAAAAATAAAGCAAGCCAGGTTTCAGCATGTGCCAACATCACTTAAAGAACTACTGAAAACCAAGAAGCATTGAGAAAACAGTTTCTTACTAACTTAGGACACTCTAGAAGTGTGCATCCCCACATTCTCACCAGGATTTAGTACATTCACGTTTCTTGACGAATCCGTCAACTACATAACATGTCAGACAAGATACTAACCGAAAGTGAAATCTCATTACTACAGAAAGGTCTGAATTTCAATATCACCAGAAAGCCATTATCGGTCCAGGAAATAGCACCTATCATTGAACCTGCTCTACAACAATTCACCAATGAAGAATCACAACCTGTTCGTCAAAAGATATCACACATATTAATGACACAACGAAACATACCATCTAATCTCAACAAACAAGAATATGAAGCCTTAAGAAATTTGAAGAAGGACAAAAGCATCGTTATAACGAAAGCCGACAAGGGAAATGTCACCGTGATTATGAACAGAACGGATTACGAAAAGAAGGCGATCGAACACCTATCTGAAGGACCATACTTACTCATTGAAGAGAAGAAGAAATCCGCCGAATTCAACAAAATGAAAATAAATACAAACAGAGTCCTTCAAGAAATGAAACCCAAAATTGGAAATCCTCTCTGGTTTAAACTAAAACCAAAGTCTTATGTACCTTCAAGATTCTACGGTCAACCAAAGATACATAAACCCACAGTTCCATTGAGACCAGTAATAGATTTCACCAACTCACCGACATACAACCTATCTAAATACTTACTCTCGATACTACAACCACTACAAAAGGACACTCAAAATATTGTCAGGAATTCATATGATTTCAAATCCCAAATAGAACACCGAGAAATTGATAAAGAAGACATTATGGTAAGCTATGATATTAACTCATTATATACTAGTATCCCCATTACCGAAAGTCTTGATATCATCTCCAGTCTTCTAGAATCAGATACAACGCTATCCCAAAGATGTCCACTGGACACCAGTCAAATAATTAAGAGCTTAAAATTCTGTCCAGAAAATAATTATTTCACATTTAAAGGGAGTTTATATAGACAGACAAATGGTGTTGCTATGGGTTCACCAGTCTCACCAATAGTCGCCGACCTTTTCATGAATAAATTCGAAAATAACATCTTTTCAAGCATACTCACTCCTAAAATATGGTTAAGATATGTGGATGATACTTTTGTAGTACTAAAACGAGATCTACACAATTCATTCCTGGAAA